ACTCTTGGGTTAGCCTGTTCTGGTAACTCCCAGGCATGAGGAAACCCTCCTCCTCGGCCGTATTTTTCTGGAAGGCAGGTCCCTTGTGGAAGGTGAAGGATAGAGAACTCAGGTCTGTCTTCTCACCTGCGTGGAAGGTAACCTCCCAGCCAGCTCCGAGGGGATCGTCTCTGTGTTCCCCTTCCTGTCTACTAGGCAATGAGGCTGAGGGCTGAGGAAGCCCCTCAAGCCGAGCACCCCCTCCCCTGTGTCCTCCTAATGCAGTGCCGTCACACAGCACTCTTTGCAGTGTGGGAGGTCAGGCCCCTGAACCTCTGGAACAGCACTGAGCATCTCAGGCATGAACATTCCTGAAAGGGTCACTCCACTGCCTGATGACAGCCGTAATTATTAATGTTGTTGTTTATTGGTTGTTGTTGAGTAAGTACTGACTCCTAGTGAGGCCCTGTGTGACGGTCAGAATGCTCTGGAAGGTTTCCAAGGCTGAGATCACTCCGAAGCAGATCGTCTGGCCCGTCTTCCAAGGTACCTCAAGGTGGACTTGAACCACCAACCTTTCAGTCCATTGGAATCCAGCACTTAACCACTTACCAGTTGACTCTGAGCGTCTTATCTAACTCTTAGAGCAAGCCTATGATATGGCCATTTTCCATGTGGGAAGGGAGGTTATGGGTAATATAGGGACTTGTCCATGGGTCCTCATGAGTATGACAGCAGAATTAGATCCCCCCAAGTCTGCGGGACCCCAAAACTGACTCTACCCAAGTCTATCTTGTTCTTTATTGATTGTTCTTTTTAAAAAACTACACTCAACTCCCTAAATGAACAAATGACAACCTTGCGTTGTAAATACTTCAGATTTGTGAATTGAATAACATGAGTGATAAATTAGGTATGACCGGAGGAACTAAAGATAGTTGATAGGGGGAGTTCTAGTGGCCTAGTGGCAAGAAGCTGCACTGCAATCCCAAAGGTGTATGGTTTGAATCCACCAGATGCTCCACTGGAGAAGGGGAAAAAACTTTCCTGTGCCTGTTGGATCTGATCTGATGGTATGCAACAAGGGAGGTGGGCGAAAAAATAAAATATTTGTTTTAAAAAACATATGGCTGATAGAGTCACCTCCACCCCTCTCCCCTGCACCCACCCTTTCCCTTCCCTGAAGACCACCAGCCCCTCCCTGTAGGCAATGGTGAGGACCCGGTCTGCGTGACGCCTTGCTGCATGCATGTGTGGCCGGAAATCAAACGTAATACTGTTCTTTGAAAGCTTAAGCTTTAAATAAATGCTCCCAGAGGGTTGTGACCCTGCCACTTGTGCCCTTGAGCCAACATCATGCTTCCGTTCTCTTGGGTGCTGCTCCATGTCTCGTCAGCATCGTGATGTCCTCCCACAGGGCCCACTGCCTGCATGGACTACCATTGTCCACAACCCTCCTGAGGGGCTGTGTTTCGTTTTCTCTGTCTCTCCCTACAAGGACCTTCTCTGTTAGCTACTTCTGTTCACGTAGACATGGCTTTCTCTATGTTTTATATCCCAAAGGGGCTTTTGTTATTCACATGTAATTTTTTAAACAAAATTAACTGGATGGTGCCAGCTGCCAGTGCTGGCCACTCCAAGGAATCCCCGAAGAAGGTCGTAGACCAAACGGGAGAAAACGTGGAACAAAATGAAAAATCATTTCAAAAAAGACAAGGCACACTGGTCTGCTTTGGACTGATGGCACTGAGAGACTGTCACCCTTAGACACCTTTGAGGCCTGGATCTGGACATACCACCTTGGCTCAACTTGAAGCCAAAAGATAGACAGACCTCGAAGATGAACAGTAATACCTTCCAGTATTCTTCTATTTTTTACAATAATGGTCTTATGCAGTATTTGTCCTTATGAGACTGAGTTAGTTCACTCAGCAGAACGCTCTCCAGCCTCCCCCAAGTTATGTAGTATTTTTTTTTTTCAATAACTGCTCCCAAGTGCTCTGTAGTATTCCATTGTGTGAATGTACCACAATTTCTCAATCCATTTGACTGTGGTTGGACCTTTGGTCTAAACACAACTATTCTTGAGGTAACTCCATCTTACGCCAGCCCCACATCTGTCAAGTGGGGCTGTGCTCTCCCGAATTTTCAGTGGCTGATTTGAAGGTAGATCTCCAGGTCTTTTCATCCGAAGCACTTTTAGTGGTTTTTGAACCTCTAGCTTCTATTGGCCACTGAGTGTGTTTACAGTTGACTTCACCCAGAGTCTTACTGCTATTTTACAGATGGGAAAATTGCAGTTTCAAGGTCATGAAGTGGTTTGCAGGAGATTCCACATACAGCTGGGAGTTAAACTTAGATCCTAAGAGGACCTGTATCCAATTCTGACTCCAAGGACACATGACCTCAGTATAGTTATCATGGTTTAGAGTCATCGTCAGGCAGGACCAGAGTGAGCTCAGTGCAGCCTTTGGCATAAGGGCAAAATTTAAGGGGTGCCAAAAATCATGGCCATCAAGAGAAACTGAATTTCATACAGTATATTTAAAAATAAAAATTGATGCCAAAAAAGTTGCAACATATTTTCTATTTTTAAGGAGTGCTTTGCTTATTCGGGGCTTCTTTCCATTCCAAATGAAACTAGAGATTACCTTTTCCATCTCCTTGAAGAATGGGATTGGTATTTGTACTGGGATTGCATTGAACGTATAAATTGCATCTCTCTCCCTGATTTAAAATCCTACTACACTGCTGTGGTGGTTAAGACAGCATGGTACTGGTACAATGACAGACACATAGATCAATGGAATAGAATTGAGAATCCAGAAATCGGCCCATCTACCCATGTTAACTGATTTTTGACAAGGAGGTGAAATCAGTTAAGTGGGGAAATGACAGCCTTTTTAACAAATGGTGCTGGCAAAATTGGAAAGCTGTATGCAGAAGACTAAAACAAGATCCACACCTCATTCCATATACAAAAACCACCTCAAGGTGGATCATGGACTTAGGACTAAAACCAAGGACTATAAACGTCATCCAAGAAAAGCTTGGAAGAACTTTAGTGGTCCTAATCCACAACATAAAAAGTCTTCCAAGTATCCTGGAAAATCTACTACAACCGGGAGAAGATAAAATATCTGAATGGGACCTTCTAAGAATCAAATCCCTATGCATATCCAAAAATTTCTCCAATAGAGTAAAAAGGGAAGCCACAGACTGGGGAAAAATATTTGGTAATGACATGTCAGATAAGGGACTTATATCTGGAATTTATAAAATACTTGAACACCACAATAAAATAAAGGTAAATAATCCAATAGAAAAATGGGCACAGGATATGAACAGACACTTCACCGAAGAAGACATTCAGATGGCCAACAAGCACATGAAGAAATGTTCAAAGTCCCTAGCTCTAAGAGAGATGCAAATCAAAACAACTATGAGATATCATCTCACCCCAGTAAGAATAGCAAAATATAACAAAACAGCAAGCAACAAATGCTGGCGAGGATGTGGAGAAACTGGAACTCTTATTCACTGTTGGTGGGAATGTAAGATGGTGCAACCATTGTGGAAGGCGGTGTGGCGCTTTCTCAAAAAATTGCAAATAGAGGGGAGGGGTGGGCAGGGAGAAAATTGCGGCAATGAATGAATGGAAATCCAAAACCTCTGTAAAAAAAATTAAAAAAAAATTGCAAATAGAGATACCATTTGACCCAGCAATCCCATTACTGGGAATATACCCCAGAGAGACCATGTCTGCCATCCAAGCAGATATATGCACACCCATGTTTATTGCAGCTTTGTTTACAATAGCAAAGAGTTGGAAGCAGCCTAAGGGCCCATCAACAAACGAATGGATAGAGAAGCTGTGGTATATCCATACGATGGAATACTATGCAGCATTAAAAAACAAGGAACTCATGAAATATTATTCAAAGTGAGTGACCCTGGAGGACATTATGCTGAGTGAAATATCTCAGTCACAAAGGGACAAATACTGCATGGTGCCACTGTTGTAGAATGGGTCTGATATCAGGGTGGGGGTATGACAGAAAAAACTGGATAAATTAGGTATATTGTATTGAAACAGATGAGGGAAAGAACAGATTAGAAGTGATATATGATTGAGTATCCAGGAATCCAGAATTAAGGTTTCACAGAGAAGTGTACTCAGGGTGGGGGTTGGGGTGAAGCGACGTGGCAATTGTATACTAATGAAGGAATTTTTTTCTTTTTTTTTTTTTCCTCTCTCTTTGGAGGGGGAAGCGAGCTAGTGGGGAGGGGTGGGCAGGGAGAAAATTGCAGCAATGAATGAATGGAAATCCAAAACCTCTGTAAAAAATAAATAAATTTTAAAAATTAAAAAAAAAGTTGCAACAGCAAAATTCCATTATTTTAACTAAAAATAAGATTTGTTTCAATAGTCACTTAAAAAGAATCTGCAATTTAAAGAATAAGGATTAGATCCTACTTTTAAATGACTGCTTTTTGTGGTGAAGTGTCCTGGTGGCATAATGGTGAAAACATTTGACTGCTAACTTCACGCTTAGTGGTTCGAGACCTTCAGGCACTTCTTGAGAAAAAGATGTAGCAATCTCCTTCTGTAAAGATGGAAGCCTTGGAAACTGTGGGGCAGCTCTACTTTGTCCTGTGGGGTCACTATGGGACAGAATCACTTGGACGGCCATGGGATGCATTGTTGTGTGGGATTAAATACTAGAACGCCCAGAAATGACCTTTGGAACATCTGGCACTTTGCAAAAGGCTACACAGAGGTGGTGGCACGTGGGACATTAGGTCCTGTTGTCAGACTGTCAAGTCCCAGCTCTGTGGTCATCACAGGCCACGTGGCGTGGACTGGGTCATAAAATGGCCCCGTACGTGGGGATGCTCACACCCCAGGGGTGCTGACGCCTGGTTCCAATACTCACATCTTACGTTTTCTTTTCCTAGAAGTGAGTGTTTTGAGGACTTGATCTCCTGACCATTCCCTCCTCTCTCCCACTCCTACCCAGCTTGTTCACCTACAGTGAGATGCATCTTCTCAAAACCTTGCTCCTCTGGGTCTACTTGCAACTGAACCCCAGTGACCAGACCGTGCCAATCTACGAGACCATGATGGCGTTCTTTAAGAGGTAACAGTGTCGATTTGGGGGAAATGGATGGGCATGGCTTGCTTTGTTCCTATTAGAGAACAGCTGGTGGCACAGCAGTTAAAGCGTTTGGCCACTTCACCTCAAGGTGAGTGAGTGGTTCACATCTACCAACTACTCCATGACAGAAAAAAAGAGGCAGTCTGCTTCCATATCAATTTATGGAAAGCCTTATGGGGGAAAATCTGTTGTTATATTAGCCATCAGGTTGCAAGTGACTCAGACCGTCCACAGGGTTTTTAGAGGCTGTAATTTGCACAGGAGGAAATTGCTCATCTTTCTCTCACAGAACAGTTGGTGGAGTCAATTGGCCAACGTGGCTCTTTATTAAGTCACCAGAGCTGCCCTGTATGGGAAGAGCTTTTCTGTGGGAAAGATCTGCTCTGCCCTTGGGGGTGGGAGGAGGTGACACTGAGTCAAAATGTCCTCTCAGTGAGGCTGACAGTAAGTGACAGTGAAGTCCAAAGTGTTCAAAACTTCGTGAGTTCAAAAGAGAAGGGTAGTTTCTAACCATCAATTACTGAGGAACATGCAAGGAGCCCTGGGGCTGTAGCTTCTAGGTTACTGTTAACCCAAAGGCCACGTGGCCCCGTGGTTTGAACCTGCCAGTGACCCTACAGGCGTCAGATGAGCAGGCTTTGCCCAATTACGGTTTGCAGCCTCCAACACCTGACAGAGGGTCCCTGTAAGTAGAAATTGACACTCATGACAGTGAGTTTAGTGACTGAGGCATGCAGGGCTTTTTAGAAAGAACGTGGAAATGTTACTTCTCAGTGCCTGCAGTCAACTTTCAGCAGGCTCATGTTACTAGGTTTGGGCGGCGTGGACTTGGAGGGAAGTGCCTTGGTGGGGTAATGGTTAAGCCTCAGTTGCTGACCGAAAAGTCATCAGTACTAACCCATCAGGGGCTCCAGGGGGCAAAGGACCTGGCTGTATGTTCCTGTAAAGGTGTCACTAGGTGCTGTCGAGTCAACCCTGACCCACAGTGACCCCTATGCAGAACAGAAGGAAACCTTGCCCAGCCCGGAGCCAGCCTCACATTCCCTACTCAGCCCAACCTCCTGGCAGTCACTGCGTCAATCCGTCTTGGTGAGGGTCTTTCCCCTTTTTCATGAGAACCCCTCTGGGACAGTTCTATCCTGAGTCACATTTGAAGACACACACAGCAGCAGCAGCCTGGGGGAGAGCCTTGATGGTACAGTTTTCCACACCATCGTCCAGAGCAGAGAGAAGAAAGCAGTGTTTTTTAAGGTGCCTACGATGACGGGGTGACTTTGAACAGCGAGGTTACCTGGAAAAGTAAATAACCTGTAGGTGGTTTAGCTCTGGGTAATAACATGCTTTCTGAGAACCTGTTCTAAGTCTGGTAATAGTCATGATGTAGAACTGCTCTTTTTATCCAGGAAAATTACTGACCTGCATTGACCTTGAAAGACTTCAAAATTAAAATGTGCTTGAAGCAGGCCAAGTCATTCTCAGTCCAGCTTCACTAGACAGACTCAGAAATTCTGCATTTTCTGGACAAATGGGGGAAAGTACGTGAATGTAGCAAGGCTTGATAGGATTGCTCTACTTTTTACGCTCTTTTAACATATAAATACCTAAAGTTACATATCACAAGACATAAATGGAAAAGCAATGATACAAGTGACCGTGGGCGCCACTGATGCGTGCCTACTATGTGTGGTTACTGTGTGAGGCACTTTTGGTGGCATCTAGTGTGCACACAGCTCTCTGTGTACAGGGCAGATTCTCCTGTGCTCACTCTACAGATGAGGAAACCGAGGTAGAGGCGGATTATCTTGCCAGAGGTCACAGAAGCAGTAAAGGGTGGGATTGGACTTGAACTCAGATCAGCTGAAGTCTGAGATGCACCTCTTTTTATTCCCAGAATGGCAGGCACCTCTCCAGTGCCCACTCTCTGGTGTCCACTCTGGCTGGTTTGATAATGACTTTTAGCCCCACGCTATGAAAGATCCCAAGGCCAGCTCTAGGTTCCCAAATTCTCACACCACCATTAACAGAATGCGGCCCCCACAATCCCATCCCTGCCCACCCCGGTGCTGTGTGCCTTGAGAGGTTTATTTGCACAGTGACCCCCTGGACAGAGTAGAACTGCCCCATGGGATTTCAAGGCTGAGATCTTTGTGGGAGCAAATCATCAGATCTTTTCTCCTGTGGAGCAGCTGGTGGGTATGAACCAAGGACTTCTCCTTTAGAAGCCAAACTCGGCACTAGTGCACCATTGGGGCTCCTGATCGGTGACCATCAATTAGCTTTGGTTTCTGGATTTATGCCTGTTGCATATAAATAAGATCATGCAGTGTTTGTCCTTTTCGTGACTGGCTTATTTCACTTGGCAAAATATTGTCAAAGTTCCTTCATATTGGAACACGTATGAAGACTTCTTGGAGCTGAATGGTGTTCTATTGTGAGGATGAACCATGTTTTGTTATCTATTGGTCCATTCATCCATCCATCCATCAATCCACCCAGCCAGCCAACCATTGACAGACATTCGGATTGTTTCCAACTTTTTGTTTGTTTATCCATTTTCTTTTTTTCACTAGTTTATTTACAAAATTCTAATACAAATTTGAACAAATTCTTTCCATTTTCCTCATCCCCCCTCCGTAAAATTGTACAATCCAATGATTAATCTCTTCTTCCCCCTGTACATCCACATCCCTCTGCTTCCAGCCTCTCCCACCAATCCGGGATCCTTATTCTGCAATAACTAACTCAGTTCCACAAGGATACAGTATTTATCTTTGTGGGACTGAGATAGTTCACTCAACATAATGCTCTCCAGTCCCTCCCAAGTTAGGTAATAACTTACAAAGTTATCTCTCCTGAGTGCTGCATAGTATTCCATTGTGTGAATGTACCATAATTAATCAATCCATTCGTTTGTGGTTTGACATTTGGGCTGTTTCCACCTTTTGATGGTTGTCCCCAGTGCTGTAGTGGACGCTGGTGGCCACCTGCCAGGCTGGGTTTTATACCTCACATCCACGGAAATGATGGCTTCCAAGCAAGAAAAGTGGTCGTTAGGGACTCGCTCACGCCTTTTCTTTTGCATACGTGTGTTTAGCAGATAGACACGTCTTCTCCGTATTTTTGATCAGTGTTTATTAGCGCGAGTTGGCCTGGCTCTACTTTGGAACACTTACTCTATTTCTGGAACAGCCGTGTGCCCTGTTAACGGAAAAGCCCATCGTTTTTCTTTCTTGTTTGGGGAGGGCGGTACTCCGTGCCAGATTTCATGCACATTGCTTGGGTTTTGTATCATTTTCTGGGAATGCGGATGTTTTAACCATCCTATCATCACCCACAGGACACTGTTTCCGATGACTCACACACACCAGGAGAAATGGCAGTGGGTTTCCAGGGTTGCTTGATTTCTGGAAACTGCTCAGGGCAGCAGGCAGGAAAAGGGCTAAAATGTGGTTTTTTATGACAGAAATGAGTGGGAAGGTGAGCATTAAGGGGCACTAAAAGCGGGGTTCAGTGGCCTCACTGGAGCCCCTGCGCTGAGGACTCAGCACCTCTTCTAGAGAGCGGAGAGAGGGTGGGTATCTCTGTTCATCGCAGCTTCCACACCTCCTCAAACCTGCACTGACCCAATGCCGACCCAAACCACCCCCCCCCATGACATGTCCCCAAACTCCTTGACTCTGCACTGTTTTCCTGGTAGAAGCCATGCTTGTGTGTCCCAGTTGTCTCACTATCCCAACCTAAAGTTGTATCTTCTTTCTACCAGAGGTGGCCTCAGACTGCCTGAGCGCCTGTCCTGTGTCCCTTCCCTGCCTCTCTGTCCCCACACTCTGTCCACCGCCAACTCCAAAGAGAGCATCACATTGGAGGACAGAGACTCGGGGCAACCCTCCCCCTGAGGCATCGCCCAGGCCGCCTCTGGCCTGATGAGCAAGGTAGACACGGGCCTCCTTGTGCTTACAGACTCGTCTGTGGTGAACAAGTTCATGGGGGTTTTCTCCACCCCATTAAAGATCCTACTTCTAGGTCTATCAGGCCCCCATCTCTCTCCCACCCCACAGCATCTTTCTACAGAATCAAAGCCTCTTTCTAAGCTCTGCTCCTTGCCAGGGACAGAGCATCCAGCAAGCAGAGTAAGAATGGACTTACCATGTGGAGATGCGGTGAGCCATGGGGAGTTGTTCACTGTTCATGATTAAGCTGTGCTTACCTCACGCGCTGAGTCATTGCCCATGACCCCTTGTCTTCCAGCTCTGAGAAGCCTGTGGCCCGCGTTTAGGCTCTGGAAGCTTTTCTTGTCCCTGCCTTTCCAAGGCCTCACATGGTTGCATCAGTGAGCAGTAAATGGCCCTCTGATCCTAAAGACTCATCTCTGTCTTCCCCAAGCTCCCCAGTCTGCAGAACCTCCTCTTCTCGTCTGTGCTGGCCAGGAGATGGGCTCCCTGACCCACGTGACTTGTCAACTTGCCTGGTGAGATTCCCGCGGGCCTGTTTATGGGAGGTCGAGTCCCCTCGGTGCTGTTGTTGTTGTCATTATTAGGTGCTGTGAGCCAACTCCAACTCACAGTGACCCCTGAACAACAGAACACAGCACTGTCCACTCCCGCACCATCCTCCCAGCCTCTGCTGTGCTGCTGTCCACGCCTGCGGGCGTTGTGTTAGTGCATCTGCCTGAAGGTCTTCTCCTTTCCTGACCCTTGGTTGTTGGAAGGACTGGCCCTGCTGAGCACATGCTCAGAGTAAGTGAGGCAAAGTGTTGGTCAACATCACAATTGAAGGCATTGATTCTTCATTCTTCTGTTAAGCCATTGTGCAATTGTCCCACACAAAGGAAGCAATTGAAAAATACCATGGCTGCGTCAGCATGACTTCGGGAGCCCCCATGGCAGTGTAGAGTCCTTCTTGGTAAGCATTTCTCGACTGTCAAATGTCTATAGCATCTGTTGCACTCTTCCTTTTTTCTTAGGGAACTCTGGTGGATTGGG